AGGCTAGCCTGGAATTCCTGAATTTAAACAAATAGCTGGTGTTATAGGCAGGTGTCATCACACTCGACACTGATGTAGGTATTTATTTCTTTTGGTACTGGGGATTGAACCTACAGCCTTATGCATGTTAGGTGAGTGCTTTACCACTGAGCTATACTCCTAGCCCCAGTGTTGGATTTTTTTATATGGTTAACTTTTTTTTTTTTTTGGTACCAGGGATTGAACTTGGGTCCTTGTGCTTGCAAAGCAGGTATATGATTAACTTTTTAAAAAGATTAAAACTTTTTTATTAGTGTAGAGACATTGCAGAAATCCTGATTAAGGAAATAGGAATTAAGTTATTCATTTTTACATACTTTTGATACCTTTCCATTTGCTTCAACAATGTTACATTTTTCTCTAATTTGAAGCATTTGTTTGATGCATGTTTAGTTTGTCTCATTCACTTTCATGTTTTTTCTTCTTATTCTTTCCTATATGAGATTTAACATTGATCTTTCTTTGGTCATTTTTACCAGATTAGACTTTCTCAACCTTGTGCAAGGAATCATGGTTCTGGATACCATTTCTAAATTTGCAATTTTAGAGTGCCTTCTGTTTTCTTATGTGTTCAAATTATCATTGTTTGGGAACTAATAGACATATATAGGAGCACAATTTTGTACAGTATTATAATTAAAATGGTATTAACATGATTTAAATTGTTACAAATTAAGGTGGCAATGGTAGTCTCAAGGAAAACCAGTAAAAAAAAAACATAACAAAAACATATACAAGAAGCAACAAAGGGCACGCACAGTGGAGCACACTGTAATCCTAGCCAATCTGGAAACTAAGGCAGGAGAATCACAATTTTGAGGACAACCTGGATAATTTAGGGAGACCCAGACTCATAAAATGAAATGACATGAAATAAATTTGGATGGCAATATAGCTCAGTGGCAGAGTGCCCCTTGGGTTCAACCCTCAGTACAACAAATAAAAAAAATATAGGTTTAAAGTATTAGATGCTGAGTGGTGGTCCACACCTGTAATCCTAGAACTCAGGAGGCTGTGGCAGGAGGGTCACTGTGAGTTCAAGGCCAACCTGGGCTACATAGTAAGCTCAGGGCCAGCCTGAACTATATAGTGATGTCCTGCCTTAAAAAAACAAAAAATAAAATTAAAAAAAAAATAGGCTAGAAAAACATTGAGTGCTGAAGTGGTTTTACTAATATCCAATAAAAGAGATCTTGAAGTGAAAGGTTAAAAATACCTTGTGATGCAAACCCTAGCCAGACCAGAGCTAGAATGGCTTTCCTAATAATGGAAAAATTAGACTTTAGACAAAAATTTTTACTAAAGAGAAAGATATTTTATAATGAAAGACATCCCATGTACACAGATTTCTAAAGATCTAACTTCATGTTGTTAGGATGGTGTACCTTCTAAATTGATTTACATGGGATAGGCATGGTAACGTTAGCACTTGGGAGACTGACACAGGAAGATCGCTGCAAGTTTGAGGCCAGCCTGAACTACATGGCGAGACCCTGTCTCAAAAACAAAACTAAACTAAACAAAACTGATGTATGGGGTTCCTGCAACCTGGCTTTATGTTAGAAATTGACATGTAGATCCTAAAATGTATATGGAAATTACTAGAGGCCTAGAATTGCCAAAACATGAACAATTGTATAAACAAAAAAAGCTAGTATCTCCTTTTTTTTCTATGCAGGGGTAATAACCTTTGGACTGAGGTCCAACATAACCCTTTTCATTATTTTAAAAATTTTAAGATGGACTCTTGCTCAGCGCTGAAGGAGGCCCTTCTGCCTCAACCTCTTTCAGTGCTGAGATTGTAGGAATATGCCACCATGCCTGGCTAATAACTGTGTGGTGTGATTAAAATATATGTTGACCATTTAAAGTTTTAAAAATTTATTACAGTAACACATTGCTATTAATTACTGTCAGAATAGTCCCCCTCACTCCAAACACACTTATCATCTTTTCCACTCTCTGAAGCAGTTCTGGAAATCCTCTTTCATGAGTGGGCTTTTTGTTGTGTTGTTTGTTTGTTGAGTCAAAGTCTTGCTATCTAGCCCATGATGGCCTTGAATTTGTCGTGATCTTCCTGTCTCATCCTCCTACATGCTGGGATTACAAGCACGTATCACTATACCCGGCTGTGAATGTCTTTAATTGTGCTGTCATGACTGCCTCAATGTGCTGATTAAATTGCCTGGGTTGGCCTCAAACTTGCCTCAGCCTCCCAAGTAGCTGGGATTATAAGAGATGTCACATCTGGCAGGGATTAATACAGATTAAGTTTGTGGCCCTTAGCACTGTCTTTTTCCTTTTTATTGCCTTTTGTACAACAGTTGCCATATTTTTTCCTAGCAGTATGATTCTTATTGATATATTATTGTTCTTTTGCTGTTCAGCTCTTAAGTCATTGGAAACCTTTGTGTTATAACATGGCCTTTCTAGATGGTGTTGTAGTGCATTATTCTTACATCAACCCAGCTGTGCTGGAACATATTTCCATATTTCCTTTTCTGTGTAGTTCCCTAGCCAGCCAGTGAAATTTTGGATATTGGCAAGGTAAAAATGAAGCAGAAACTATATTCTTATGCTTGGGACATCATTACATGCCAGTACATTGTATTGCACCTCATGAATATTTGTCACTCAGCACCTGGTCAAGCATGTAAGCACAGCAGTTGAACCCAGTTCCCCTATTCCCACTAGATCTTCCTACTTCAGCTTCTGTAACTCCTTGAATAGCTACATCTGTAATTCTAGTGGTGGGGGAAGGATACCAGCTTTTCCTGCAGACTATATCATCAGCATTGGAGGCTTTAGGATACTTCAGTGTACTCTCAACAGTTCTTATCAGTACAGGTTCCAGGCTTATTTCCTGGCTTCCAATTTAAGACTGTCCTTAACTTCTTACTTAATAGCCAGTGTTGTTGCCCAGCTCTTGCCCCTCCTAACTTGGAAGTTGTAGCTCCTGACTGAGAAACAGCAACCTTACATAGACTATTTAACAAAGTCTGTTAGTAATTCTCTTATTAACTATCTTCCCGAATAAATCCCTTATTATGTTTATCTGTGGTGGTTTTGTTTTGTTTTTGAAACAGCATCCTGCTGTGAGATTCAAGCTGGCCTTAGACTCACTGTGTAGCCCAGAGTGGCCTTGAACATGAGGTCCTCCTGCTTCAGCCTTCTGAGTGCTGGGTTTACAGGCGTGTTCCACCATTCCTCTTAATTGCCTTTTAAAGAAATTATTAAATAATAAATGTTTTACCAGATGAGATTCTTAGTTGAAAGCTTTTTTCTTTCAGCCTTTTGAATATGTCAGCCTATTACCTCCTGACCTCCAAACTTTCTAATGATAAATCTACTGATAATTGTGTAGGGGATTCTTGTATGTGAGGAGTTGCTCTTTCTTAACTGCTTTCAAGATTGTTTCTGTTTTCATTGTTGAGATTGAACCCAGAGCCTTGCACATAATAGGCAAGCACTCTTTTAACATTAAGCAACATCCCCACCTCCTCAGAAGTTACAGTATGTTCAGGTATAAGTGTGTCAGTTCATCCTACTTGGAATTCATTACATTTTGGGAATGTTTACATTCATATCTTTCATCAAAGTTTTCAAGATTTTGGCCTTTTATTTCTTCTAATAATTTCTTTTTCTCTTTTCTTTCTGGAATTTCTACAGTGTGTATTTTGGTCTGCTTGATGGTGACCCACAGGTCCCTTAGGCTCTATCTTTTAAATTTATGTTCTTTATATGTAATGATTTCAGTTGTACTGCTTTCAAGTCTATTGATTCTTCCTTCTGTCTGCTTAAATTTGCCTTTAAATTCTGCTAATAAACATTTCGGTTACTGTATTTCTTAAGCTTCTTCCAGAATTTCTTTTTTGTCATTCCAGCTTGTCCATACATCATTTTCTTAACTTTTTGCACTTCTTCCTTTAGTTCTTTTTTCTTTTTTCCAGCACCAGGGATAGAACTCAGTAACTTGTGCTTGCCAGGCAGGTGTGGTACCATTGAACTAAATCCCTGGCCCTTTCTTTAATTCTTTGAGCATTTTTAAGACAGTTGTGGTTTGGGGATGTAGCTCACCGATGCAGTGCTTGCTTAACATGCAACAAAGCCCTAGTTTCAACTCTCAGTACCACAAAAGAAGAAAAAAAGTGGTTTTGAAGACTTGTTTCTAGAAAGACCACCATATGTTGTTCATTGGGGATAATTTCTATTGTTTATTTTCACTTGGTGTAACCCAAAATTTTCCTTTTTTTAATACTTTCTGATTTTTGTTGTTGAAAGCTGGCTGTTTGGGTCTAATATTGTATAAACAAATTATATTCTCCCCTTTCCTCAAGTTATGATGATTTTGTTGTTGCTGTTTGTGGTAGGCTCTGTATGGCAAGAATTACTCTGAATTGTGAATTTAGGGTCTTTTCTGCCTGTAAATTGCCCTTAAGCTCCTCTAGGAACACATGCATAAGGTTGTAGGATGGGCAGCTGCTTTGATGTAAATTTGATGACAGTTAACCATGCTTCACCGTCCACGTTTTTCCTGGAAAGTTACTGCCCTTAAATATAACTCAGAGTTTAAAACGATTGCATCATGCAGCTTCTACAGTTGGTATCTACTTGGGAAGATAGATTACTGCCTCTGTCCACTTTACCATCTCCCTAGAATTCTGTTCTTATTACTGTGTACTGGAGTACTTTATACTATCTATAATATATGAGATTTTTCATTTTCTCTTTAATTATGCCATAATACATTTACTTTTTCTGGGCAAGGAAACCAGGTATTTTTCTTTTCTTATTTCTTGTAGATTTGGAGTCAAGTTATGAAATGATCAGCTATGGAAAGATGTACATTTATAAAAAAGATTCATCTCTTACTCTGCATCAGAGAAATAAGTATGGAGAGAAACCCTTTGAATGTAAAGAATGTGGGAAGGCCTTTGGTCGTCCTACACACCTTAGACTACATCAGATGATGCACACTGGTGAAAAGCCTTATAAATGTAAGGAATGTGGTAAAGCCTTTAGTCGTCCTTCAGACCTTAGAGTACATCAGAGAATTCACACTGGTGAGAAGCCCTATCGATGTGAAGAGTGTGGAAAGGCCTTTAGTCGGGGTTCACACCTGACTCAACATGAAAAAGTTCATACTGGAGAGAAATCCTATGTATGTCATCAATGTGGGAAGGCCTTTAGTGAAGTTGGAAGACTGAGAATACATCAAAGAATTCATACTGGTGAGAAACCCTATGAATGTAGGGAATGTGGGAAGGCCTTCAGTCAAGCCTCAAACCTAGTACAACATGCTAGAATTCATACTGGTGAAAAACCCTATGAATGTAAAGAATGTGGGAAGGCCTTTAGTCACCCCTCACATCTCATTCGACATGACAGAACTCATACTGGTGAGAAACCCTATGAATGTGAAGAGTGTGGGAGAGCTTTTAGCAGTAGCCACCAACGTACTATACACCATAGACTTCATACTGGTGAGAAACCCTATGAATGTAAAGAATGTGGGAAAGCCTTTTGTGTCTATGGACGACTTACTCAACACCAGAGTATCCACAGTGGTGAGAAACCCTTTCAATGTAGCAAATGCAAGAGATCCTTTAGGCTCAGTTCAGGCCTTAAAGTACATGAGAGTATTCATACTGGTGAGAAACCCTTCGAATGTAACAAATGTGGAAAGTCCTTTAGGTTAAGTTCAACCCTTAAAGTACATCAAAGAATTCATACTGGTGAGAGACTTTATGGCATACATATATAAAAGATAGTGTACAGTATATCTGAATTTATACCACTGATATAGTTGGAAGAGAATGTGAGAAGCTTTGTATGTGTTTTTATAAAGAAATAAATAATTTATACTGATATGAACTCTTTGGGAGGTTAATGTTTGACATTTTTAGTTATGACCTAAATGTTCAGATTCAGGGACTTTATAGAAGAGTTTTGTTTTATGGCATCCTTCTGTGTTTTAGTGTTTACCAGGTGGCCAACCTGTGTAGCCAAGATTAGAAAGCAGGTAAGTGCCAGAGAAGAGCCTTAACACATAACTTGAAGTTGTAGCAGACAGACAACAAGCACACCAGGCTCAGGTGGTACATTTAATCAAAGTAACAGGAAAGAGAGCACAGGGTCCTGCCCCTTGCAGTGTGTCACTACCCTTGGCCATTGGATCCATTGTGAAAATGACACAGATGATGTAGCTACACACATTCCATTCTATGCTATTGTGATAGAACCTCAGCCTCTCTTCCCCATGGGGTATGAAATAGAGAATTCTATGAGTGTGCCTCAGGGTTATTGCTGCTTAAACAACACAAAAAAATACACATTATGTCAGAGACAGGGAAAGACATTCCCACACAAGTTGCTAAGCTCAACAGTTGTCAGGACCCTTTATCTCTTGTTAAGGAAGTGTTCCAGGGCCAAGCCCCACTCTTATGTGACCATGTAGATGTTGAAAGGATGCATGAATGAGAGTCCTTTTCCTCTTTATGGACTGTATGATTTGTACTGAAGGAAAATTAAGAGAATGTTTGAAATCCTTGTTTTGTATGTTTTATGTATAAAAGGCTTCCAGCAAAAATCACTTATTAAACTTTAGTCACATCACAGAAAACCCCTGCAAATTTAACAGCAGCAGAGTGTTTAGTGTTTGTTTTTAATCTAAATTGTTATGATTGAGTTTCTGCTCCTTATGTCTCATTTGTTTGTAGTTCTAGTTTTGCCTTGTACCTGATTCAACTTGGATAAAGAAACATTAATCTACATTATAGTGCTATTAGAATTAAATCAATTTGGGCTGGGGATTTAGCTCAGAGTTGACACTGCCTGCCTCGTAAGCACAAGGTCCTGAGTTCAATCCCTGGTACAAAAAAAAAAAAAAAAAAAAAGAATTAAATCAGTTCATATATGGGAAATTGTTTAGCATATAGTTTGTGTCATTGCCTACTATATTTTTTCTATTTCTAATTTTATTTTTTTTTATTGGTAGAGGACTCATGAGATTAAATACTTTATGAGTTTAAGGAATTTAGGAAAGTTTCTTATAACTCTCCTTTTTTGAATTTATCTTTCCTTAATAATGCTGATAGAATGTAAAACACTGCAACATCTTCATTTACATTTCTTAAACTGGATCAGATGCTTAAAATTTTGAATGAGATTTATATTTATAGCTTAGAAAGTATGAAAAAATTTAAATTATCCAGTAAATTATTTAGAAATTGGCCAAAGGGGACCTGAAGATATAGCTCTGTGGTAGAGTGCTTGCCTATCATGCTAGAGGCCATGGGTTTGATTCCCAGAAACCACACACACACACACACACACACATATATATATATATATATATATATATATATATATATACACACAAAATAACCAAAGTATATCCACTTTGTATTTTTAATTTCATTTGCAATTAAAAATTTTGAACACAAGAGTTGAAATAACAGTACAGTCAGGTCCATGTCCATGAGATTCACATTTGCAAATTGAACCTCAGATTGATGGTATTTGAGAAAACTGTGATTGTACTAAACGTGTAGAGTGCTGTTACTCCCTAAGCAATATGTATAACAACTATTTGCACATATTTGCATTGTATTAGGTATAATAATTAACTTGATGATTTAAAATATAGTCATGCATTTGCTTAATAAGGGGGATACCTTCTGAGAACTGCATTGTTAAGTGGTTTCAGCATTGTGTGAACATGACTGTATTTACACAAATTTAGATGATACACCCTATGACACACTAGGTTATATGGTACCACTTATTATTCCTAGGCTACAAACCTATACAGCATATTACTGTCCTGAACACTATAGGCAGTTATAACACAATGGTAATTATCTGTGTATCTAAACATACCTAGACATAGAAGATGCACAGTAAAAATAAAGTATTTTGAAATAGTATTCCTGTATGGTGCACTTACCATGACAGGAGCCTGCAGGACTGGAAGTTGTGCTGGGTAAGCCAACGAGTGAGTGGTGAGTAAATGTGAAGTCCAGGACATAACTATCCACTGCTATAGACTTTATACACAGTGTGCCTAGGCTACAGTACACATAACAGTATTCTTTAATAATTAAACTTTATATAGATTTAAATTTTTTCATTTATATAATAGGTTCAGTTTGGTTTTGTTGGGTTGAGACAGTCTTGCTGTATACTTCAGGCTGGCCTTGAATTCACTGTGTAGTCCAGGCTTGCCTAGAGCTTGCAGCGGTCCTCCCGTTTTGGCCTTCCAAGTGCGGGTACTATAGGTATGTGCCTCCATACATGGCTGTAATAAGAGTTTCAAACACACACGTTATACACTATACAAAGTGTTTTTTGTTCAGTTACCTGATTGAACTCAGGACCTTGCACTTGAGAGGCAGGCGTGGTACCTCTGAACTAAATCCCCGACCCTGTAAAAGTATTTATATACATCTTTATATAAGCATTTTAAATTGTTTTTATTTCTTTTACTTTAAAATGTTTTTGTTAAAAACTAACCTAGGTCTGCACAGGGTTAGGATCATCAGTAGTTCTGTCTTCCACCTACACATTGTGTCCCATTAGATTAGGGTAATGACACATGGAGATGTCATCTATGATAACCATAACTTCTGGAATGCCTCTTGAATGATCTGACTATCTTATACATTAACTTTTTTTTCTTCTGATCTGGGGTTGAATCCAGGACCTTCTCCATGCTAAGCAAACACTATCAATGCCCTTTTATTTCGTTCAGAGAGGGTCTGGCTAATTCCCAAGGTTGGTCTTGAATTTAAAATCCTCCAAATTTGGATTCCCAGGTAACTGAGATTATAGGAGTATACCACCATTCCTGGTTTAAACTTTTTTAAGTAGGAAAAGCATACTCTAAAATAATGGCTAAAGCTGAGGATAGTGGTGCATATCTGTAATCACAGTACTCTGAGAGGAGGAAGAATTGCTGCGGGCCGAGCCTAAAGATGGTCCTTCGTCTCCTCCTACTCCCTTTCTCCTCCATAGATTAAAGAGATTATTGTACACCCTGGATGGCACAGCCCCAGGTGACAGTTACATTATGTTTCCTTCCCTGTTCCCTTCCTGTGCATGCTCCAATCATGAAACAATCATGGTATGTTCCACTTAGGCCACAAAGCACTATTTGCCCTGCTTTCTCCCTGTGCGCCTTCCACTATCAATAAAGAGTTCCTGACAAGCTATGGTACTTCTGACAAGCTATAGTACTTCTGACAAGCTATGGTTCTGCCTGGTCCCAACTTTTAAGAATAATCTGGTCTTCTTCATTTTTTTTTATTCATCTCTTACCACTTTTTTGAGCTTTGAACCCTATGCTGTGCAGGTCAAGGCAGAAAATCACAAGCCCAGCCTGAACAAGTTAGTGACTTAGTGAGACCCTAGTTCAAAATAAAAAATTTAAAAGAGCCAGGACACTACCTCTGTGTGAAGACCCTGGGTTGAACCCCTAGTACTCCAAAATAAATACTTTTAAAGCTCTCTCTCTCTCTTTTTTTTTTGGTGGAAGAGGGGATTGAACTCAGGACCTTGCACTTGTGAGGTAGGCATGGTGCCACTGCCTGCTACTTGGGGGTAGAGTAAAGCAGCAGGGGCTGTGAGAATCAGGCTCCCAAATCCTTGGTCCCAAATATAAATAATTTTAAAATGATTAAAATTAGTATAGCCAGGTATGGTGGCAGGTGCATGTAATCTTAGCTTTTTAGGAGGCCAAGGCAGAATTGCAAGTTTAAGGCCAACCTAGATAAGTTAGCAACACTCCCAAGATTTAAAAAAGATTGGGTGGGGGGCGGTGGATATACCACAGTGATAGTGGGCTTCTGGGTTCAATTCCCTAATAGCAGGAAAAAAATCTATTCTATATGCAGACCATAAACTTTTGTTATGGATTTATTACATATTAAATAATAGCACACATAAAAAAATCCAGTGAGTTATAGAGGTGTATGCCTATAATCTCAACACTCTGGGAGGCCAGGGTAGGATCACAAGTTTGAGCTGGGGATGTAGCCCAGTGTGAAGGCACTGGTTTCAGTCCTCAGTACCAAAAAGAAATTCTTAAAGTGCGCATACTGGATTTTTTTTTTTTTTTTTTTTTTTTTTTTC